TTTTTACATTATGCAAAGGGACTTCTTTTTATCTAACTTTTTGATCTGATATAATAGCCAAAAGTTTATTGGTTGGAAGAAGTGACAGAATTTTTATTGGCTGGTGAAAGGTCGTGACCTTTATGCAAAATTCCTATGTAAAACCTCAATAGGATGTGAATCGAATATAAAAATTTCGGATCTTAGGAAAGATCCATTGGTAACTTTTAACACTCATCAGAAGCAAGATAGTGCAGAAAAGTTCTAGATACCCAAATTCAAAAATATTTAAAGACTTATACTTGTTGTGATCTATGTGGTATACGAAACAGAAAAAAAAAATGTTTTCTATTTTTCAGTATTGTTTGTTAAGTCCAAGGAAATAGAACTATACTGTTTGGAAACAGTGTTTGGAATCAGGTGAGAATAAATTTGATTTAAAATAAATATGTCCAAAGTGTTTGATACAGACTATACTATATATGATTTTATAGATTCAGAAGAATAAAATTTTTGAAAGTAGGGATATTATGATGAATATTTTCAACGTATGTAAATAGAATTATACACGAAAATATGATGTAAATACAGGAAAACTAAAATGAAATTGTAAACCTAACATACATGCATGTAGTTGCAATTAAAAAAAGCAGTCTACGTCTGAATGTACCTTATCAAGGTAACCTTTAATTATATAATAAAAAAGCGTCATTGGTTCATTGCACGCCCTTACGAAGTCTCGTGCATGTATTCCGACATTCTCTAAAATTGCGACTTCATATATATTGATGGACAATTATGGAATAGATTTTTCTTATCGTCAACTGATTCCAAAAATATAACAAAAATGTATATTACAGACATGTTTCACAAGATATATTTTTTCATTGGGTGAGTTGATACAAATCACGTGAGTCGATACTCACGTATGATCGTTTTTCCTCCGGAAACATAAGCGCACGTGACGCAGTATAAATATATAATAAAATATATAAATAGAGTCGCAAAATCAAGAGCTGATCCTTGTGTCACTGGTTAGAATTTATTTACTGCGGGATGACAAGACTCATCCGCATAAACTGAGTTCTCCTTTTACAACAGAAGCTGGCAAGACAAAGATCTCTCAATACTCAAAAACTCATTTTCAATTTTAGGTGTCTAAGGAAGATGTTTTTGAAAATCTTTTCGATAGCTGTTATCAATACTGCTGTACAAGGTCAGCCGCTCTATGATGAGATGTCGGATCCATGTAAAGATCATCGAAAAAGTTATGAAATCTACAAAGGTAAGTGAATGAAATAAAATTTTAAGAACAAAAAAAATAAAGATATATGTCCACAGTGAAGACAAGTATTTTGGTGCATTTGTTAAAAATCTAGATAAATAAAAAAAAAATATCGAAAAAATGAGGAGAACATGGCGGGTGAGACCGGCCAGCAGGGGATGCTCACTCCCCCATGGCACCTGATCCCAGCTCTGATGTTACGAAGGTCAGTGCTTTCTCTGCTGATATTGAGATTGCATACTGTTTGTTATCTCCATATCCTTCATAGTTAAATTTATCGGAATACATCTTTACATATCAGTTTAGAGTTTTTGTTTAAGTATTTTATAGAATCAATTTTGCATTGCTTTCAATTAATCTGATAACATTGTAATTAAAATATTAAAACTTAAAAAAAAAGTTAAAAATATATAGATTTTCTATTAATAACGTATAATGATAATTATCTTAAAAAAATATAGTATGAATGGTTCATACTTAAGGCAAAAAATGAAGAAAACGAACAGTGATCGATGTAAAAGAAATCTATGAAATATATTATCTGTTTAGATAGCATAAAATTTTACCAATCAATATTCAAGACGTGGAAAACAAAAATATACAGAGAAATTTAATAACTGTTTGAAAGTTTAATGTCATAGTAATGTCGCAATTAAAATGGACATGAAATATAAATGTAACTTCCTTACTGCTATATTTTTGTGGAAGGCTCTAGTTTTTGTACAAATGAAGTCCGTCTTATTGAATGTTACAAAATGCTCTCTGAAATGAAAAAGTCTCGAGGTTATGTTTTGAATTCAAGTAAGTTGTTATTAGTGACTTGGAATTATTTCCTTGTGTCTCTGAACGTATATATATATTTTTTTTCATTTTTTAGAGCATTTGTTGTCTCTACAGTTGGAGAACAAAAAATTACAGGAAAAACGCTGCAAAGTCAAAGGTTGATTCTTTCAATTACTAATTTAATTATAATTTTCCACTATATATAAGCCAAAAAAAAAGTACACTTAACATCAGGCCAGGGAAGAGTAAATAGTAAATTATGCAACAGAACAACAATAAGCTATTTTAAAGCAAAAGATTTGTACAGATGGAAAATTTGTGTTCTAAAATACTTTGAAAGTGCTTCTAGAATATCCCGAGATAAGCATGGTTTTATGAGAAATCTTGGTTCATATTTATAAAATTCAAAACATCGGGTAAGGTTTTTTTTGTGAATGTGTGAAATAATTATCTATCGGACAGGACAGTGGGATTTTAGCAGCACTTTTTAGGAAGAATGGATGTTGTTCGACTATATAATTTACTCAAAAATGATCAAACCCTAGTGTATCGTTATTCTGTTAGCTTCTTTATTAAGGAACATTTTTCTATTTATAGATGTCATGTGATGCCGTAGTTTTAGTGTACGTTTTTGCGTTAGACACTCTTTTATCTTTATGCAATAGTTAATGATAGTTTACGTTTATCGGCGGTTTTGGAAAATTATCAAACTTAATTTTCTTTAAAAAGTCTAACTTTCTCGAGAAGTGATTTATATGCATTTTAAACATACCTTTATTTCAAGAACTTTACCAAAAACATTGCCTGAATACATCATACTTTTTTTAAGAATGTCCCCAGTGTTGTTTTCTCTACATATCATAAAAGAAAGAGGAGAAATATGTGGATCCCGAAGTATGCTGTTAATACATGTATAATATCTGGCTATGTAATCTATTTAGCGCATTCCGCGGAGAGCAATTAAAATGTCCTTAATTAAGTACTTCAATGAATGTTTTGTTTTCATATATTCAAATAAAACAGCGCTAATAAAATTGTACACTAACCCGTAAAAACAACGAAATCGACTTCGTACTCGCCACATAAGATATATATTAAGTAATAGTTATAATTTTTTCCCTATATATTTAACAGCATGTCCAGATAATTGGATATGTTTCGAAAACATCTGCTACTTATTTTCTGAAGCCAAAACCACATTTGATGCAGCAAAGGTGAGCTCAATAAAAATTGTAAAGAGGGCCATTGAAATCGTTGTCATTTTAGACTAAATTGGTCTGCTTTAAGAAGATAGACAAAAATTGTCATTTTTTAAATAAAACACGAATTTCTTCTTTGCTAAATGATAATTAACAGCTGATGATGTCATATAAGAAAGTAATATTTGCTGGTTAATTTATAAACCCCCAGTGTCTTTGAATTAAGACATCTTGTACATTGTACACCACATTGCGTAAAATTCAGATAAAATGTTTAATGCATTTCTATATATGAAAGATCTGCTTCTAAATGATACAAAGTTCTGAATGCTTTATAGGTTATTTGTAACAGAGCTGGCGCTTATATTCTTGAAGATCAAACCCCATGGGAAAGGTCACTAACAAAAGCGAAAGGTATATATTTCTCTTCTTTGTTTTTTTTGAGCAATACCATTTTAAACTTGAGAAATAAAGTAATTATGCACTTCCACTAAAAAGAAAAAAAAAACTTGGAAAAAACAATATCTAAACAAAAAGGAATGGATATACAACATTTATTATTTTCTTTGGCATTAAGGTTATACCCATATGTGGATTGGTGCAACAGATATCCTTAAAGAAGGAGTCTATGTCTATGAATCCACGGGATCAATAGTGACTAATGGCGATTGGGTCAAAGGTCAACCAGGTGGAGGAAGAAATGAAAACTGCGTAGCAGCATTGAAAAGTAGCAACTGGCAGTGGCACGATTATTCGTGTGATCATGAGTTTGATTATGTCTGCAAGAAAAGTAAAAACTTCTGCGTGAAAACTTAATAAAATTCTAGATTGAGGTCAAGATGACCTTTACTATATACGACCCTTAGAGAAATACTATTGTTGAATATTAATGAGTAAAACAAAAGATAAGTGTAGGAGTTATAGTATACCATTGAATACTATAGTTACATGTATCTATAGCGATATATTCAACGCTTATATTTATTTTTGCTACTATTTTGATACCCATATAGAATAAGAATCACAATATTTAAATCAGCTTAAACGCGCGTTAAAAAAAAAGATCACATCATTGTATTCTATAATGAATATTAACAACACTTTAGAAGGTAATAAATATACACTTACTAAAAACGACATGATTTTACAGAATGTATTAGCATGACATGTATTAAAACGTATGACTGTACAATACATATTTTGTATATTGACAAAACATGGACGGCAAATTAGATTTACTGTCTGTTAAATGGTCGTCAAAAGTTAGTGAAATCATGCAATGTTGAACACTACCATAAAATCAAAATCAAAAATCCAAAACTTAAAAAAATATTAACTTAGATAATGTTTTTGCCTGGACTTTTTGCGACGTAAAGAAATTGAAGAGTGAACGAGAAATGTCAGTTAAGTCAATCATTGTTTCAAAAGCAGAATAATTTCAACATAGATGTGAAACCTTTGCAATTTTTTGTCTATATCTCTTCAAACCCATGAAAATTTCATTTTTCCAACAAATAAAAGTACATGTAGATACTCTGTATTCTCTTTACAATCTTATGCCCATTGTTAATGAATGATTTGTACTATGATTTGTACTTACGTAGCTCAAAATGTCTTAAATGCGACAAAAATGGTATATTTGAAATCAAATGAAACGATATATATGGAGATGATATATAAAAATAACGAATATTATTATATAATTTATTCATAGTTCCTGTATAATAGTTCAAAACACTACATATTTTCCAGATTTGAGTCCGTTTTCACCTGTGGTTCAGTGCATGCAGCGGCATTGTGACGTCATAATCAACGTTCTTCACAGGTTTTTAAACAATAGTTACAAAGCACGAAACCAGTTGCGTATATGAGCAGGAGAAAATTGTATGACAAACCTATCGCAGGTCCACCTTGGTCAATATTGGTCTCTTTCTGGTGAATAACAATCCATATTCAACATCAAAAAGAGTCCATTATTTTATAGTATTCAAGATTAAAAGTCTATTTCACAATACAAAATAGGTATAGAGCAAACTTATACCTCTCAAACATTTGAGGTGGGATCACCTGCCATGGAAGAGTGAGCATCGCTTGTCAACCGGTCACATCCTTTGTGCTCCTTATCATGATTGGGAAATAACGGGAAAATCCGTCGACAATTCATTGTGTAAAAAATGGCTGTTAATAAAGCGCAGTTGTCACAGGCCTAACAATCAGCATGAGAAATGTGAGACAGCAGTTGACTTATTGATAAGTTGTAAGTTGTATTCGCTGACAAGTTAATCGTAACCACCCTAGAACTTACGAAATGATGACATTGAACGAGACTGCTGATACTCTTATTTCAGAAACTTGTTTGTCAATAATTCACTTCGTTTTATAAATTGTACATACGTAGAGCTTGGTCTTGATTATCAAATATACTGAGAGAAATAAACCCCATATGTTAGTCACCCTCTTCATTTTTGTCAGTTTTTTTTTTTTGTTTGTAAAAGTCAGAATCAAATGGAAATCAAATGAAAAAAAAAAATATTAATGCTTAATTAAACTAATTAGCAAGATTATGAATTACAATAAATTAAAAATATCATGCTAGTTCCTGAAATCACTCAAATTAATTAAGTGTCAGAAAATTTTCTAACGGATAAATATTTCATTTACAAAAAATTTACTTATGCTCAATAAATTGTTAATTTTACATCAATTTTCAATACTGACAAAAATTGGTGTTCTTTTCATTTTCTGACAAAGCACAATAAGTATATTCATGAATATTCAATTTATTTATAAGTTTATAATTAGAAAAAAGATGTATCAGCTTCTGTAGTCTCTTATATTTCATACCTACTGAAATAGATGAAGTTAATATACGAATGTAGGTGTCGATCGTTAAATGAAAATACGTCGTTGATATATCTCAACGTTTAATTGAAGTAACTAACAATCGTTTTCTTCTTTCCATGTTTAAGATTTTAAATAAAGTCCGCTACATTTGCTTACAAAAAAGTGTTTATAATGAGCCAAATTATACCATTTGGGATTAAGACAGATTCCGGGAAGACCTGATCTCCAAAAACTTTATAGAAATTTAATAGACACAGTATCTGATGCAAAAGTTTTAAAATCAATTTATTTACTTTCACTAAATATATTTTAAGAACATTTAAAGAAAGATAACCTGGATCAATGATGGTATTTTATTTTAAAAGATCATAAAACAATGTGGCATTCTGATTTAAAAAGCAACTCTTCATTGTAATTTCTAATGTAAATAAGAAAGCTATGGTATAATGGCATAATAAAAAAAATAAAATAAGAATGGCATGGATGCTAGAAAAAAAATGCATTCATTCAAATAGATATTACATGAGTCAAAGGCATTATATATATCATACACACTTTTAAGTGTGTATGCAAATTTACAATTTTGTCTGACTCAACTAAAATGAGATATAACAAGAGGCCCAGGGGCCATGATTTGAACGCACTAGAGTCTACATTACCTGAGGATGATTCCATTTAAATATTACTAATCATGGCTTTGAAGTACTTGAAAAGAAGATTTTAAAAGGTTTCCCTTAATATTCTTATGTTATACTTTGGTCGGCCATTTTGGCCCCACCCTACCCCCGGGGGTCATGATTTGAACAAATTTGAATCTACACTACCTGAGGATAATTTCACATGAGTTATATCTCCTGTTTCAATGGTTCTTGAGAAGAAGATTTTTAAAGATTTCTCCTTAATATTCCTATGTAGAACTTTGATCGGCCATATTGGCCCCTAACACCAGGGGTCATGATTTGAACAAGCTTGAATCTACAGTATCTGAGGATGATTCCACATGAGTTTTATCTTTCCAGGCCCAGTGGTTTTTTTAAAGAAGATTTTTCAAGATTTTTCCTATGTATTCCTATGTAAAACTTTGAACAGCCAGTTTGGCCCCACTCTACCCCCGGGGGTCATAATTTGAACAAACTTGAATCTTCACTACCTGAGGATAATTTCACATGTGTTTCGTATTTCCCATCTCAATAGTCCTTGAGAAAAAAAAAAATTAAAGATTTGTCTTATATATTCCTATGTAAATCTTTGATCGGCCATTTTAGCCCCCACCCTACTCCCGGGGGGTCATGATTTAAACAAACTTTAATCTACACTACCTGATGATGATTCCACCTGAGTTTCATCTTTCCTGGTCGAGTGGTTTTTGAGAAGAACGTTTTAAAAGATTTTCCTATATACTCCTATATACAACTTTGATCGGCCATTTTGGCCCCACCCTTACCCCGGGGGTCATGATTTGAACAAAATTGAATCTACAGTACCTGAGAATGATTCCATATGAGTTTCATCTTTCCAGGTCCAGTAGTTCTTGAGAAGAATATTTTTCAAAAACGCCATATATTTTTCTCTACTTCGTAATTATCTCCCCTTGGAAAAGGGCGTGGCCCTTCATTTGAATAACTTGAATCCCTCTCACTAAAGAATACTTTGTAGCAAGTTTGGTTGAAATTGGCCAAGTGGTTCTTGAGAAGAAGATGAAAATGTGAAAAGTTTACAACGACAACAACGACTATGACAACGACAACAACAACAACGACAGACAACGGACATATCAGAAAAGCTCACTTGAGCCTTCGGCTCAGGTGAGCTAAAACAAGGAAAATAGCAAGCTTACGAAAAAAGAAGCTCATCATCAATGATTCGAATTCACACATAAAGTATAACCAATAAAATGAAGAAACTATATTACAAGATATAAAGGATGTCATTTTGGCATCAGCTTAAGAAAATGGTACAAATTATCTCTTAAATTGTTCATTATCATAGCAACAAAATGTATCCTTTCAATTTACTCATGTTCAGCGTGTCCAAAACAACATAATTACACACTGATAAATTTTCATTTATCGAAAGTGACTATCTCACTCTAAAGCATATCCCAATTGTTGATTATGAAATGTATGAAATTGAATTTGAAAACTACCAAAAAAAAAAAAACTACAATTAAACAAGTGCAGATTACAAATGGCAAGACTATGAACAAAAAGGTGCAGAAGAGTAAAAAAAAAGAACAAAAAAAAAATTATTCGATGATTTTAATGTTTTATCAATTTGTCAAAGATACGAGACGATTTTCGAAGGAGATACAAGGAAGTGCATTTACCTTATATTAAGTAAACTTTGTTATTTCCTTCTTTCTTATGACCTTCTTTCTTTTGACGGTCACCACCCCGTGGGGATCAGGGTTAGAATAGCTCCTAAGTACCCCCTTGCTTGTCGTAAAAGGCGACTAAATGGGGCGGTCCTTCGGATGAGACCGTATAAACCGAGACCCCATGTCACAGCAGGTGTGGCACGATAAAGATCCCTCCCTGCTCAAAGGCTGTAAGTGCCGAGCATAGGCCTAAATTTGCAGCCCTTCATCGGCAATGGTGACGTCTCCACATCAGTGAATTATTCTGGATAGGGACGTTAAACAGTATACAATCAATCAATCAGTTGACGGTCACCAGATCTTTGATTTTTTTAAATACAAAAAACAGAACTTACACAAAACAACGCAGCACAGTTAAGGTAAGGAGGCGGGGGCTAATTCGTAAGGGAAAAGTTTACTATAACGTCACACATAATATTAGGTCTTCAAAATACCACACAGTGAACTTATTTGCTATTTCAAACAGCTGGATAGCTGTATACATGTACTAGATACTAACATACTATTACATGCAGTTTTGTCGTTTGTTAAATCCCAAACAACAATATATAAACGATGCATCGATCGCAATGCACTTGTCAATGTGACGTCATCTCGCAAAAATGACGCAGTTTGTACACAGTAAGAGGCTTATGAAATCACATTTTGCACAATGAAAAATGTCTTTTGTTCTCAAATAAAATAATATCTGCAATTAAATAAAAGGCCGTTAACTTGGATGCAATGTCTGTTTTAGTATTGTATTTATAAACTGTCCGTATATTCTCCAGACAAGTGATACTGTTGTGTGTTTGTATGCAGATTCATTGAAAAAGTAATGGAAGGGCCCTAATAAATCGAATAATTGCAAGGGCATACCCTCATTGTATCTTGCCAAGTTTTTACACATAAACTCAAGAAGCATTACAATATTTCAAAAGTGCAGCGAACCTCATGAAATCTTGCAAATAAATTAATTATAGCTTCATTTAATGTAGTTGACCAGCAAAATATTCAACCTCCCGTCCAACAAATTAGATTTAACAACTAAAAAAGGGAATCCATATAGGTTCGCAGCACTTTTCACAAACAACAAATAGTGTTGAAAAAGATTGTAAATTAAACTTAGTTTCTTAACTTGGTTATGTCCTTGCAATATTGGAATTTATAGACGACCTCTAAACTGCAAGTATAATTGCTAAAATTATGTGACGTCGACACCATGTGACAAGTCTAAATAAATTATTTAAATGTCCCCGACATGTAGATTTTAACCACATTACATTTTTTTATATCAGTGAAGACCTATCTTAAAAAATCGCCGATATTTCCATTTGTAACCTTAAATGTACTGCAAAAACACCAGAATTCCACAGCCCAAAGAAAACAGATAATTCACATTCAGTCATGGTGACTTGAAATAAAATATTCAAAACGGTTTTCATAACGTTGCTAATGAGATCATTGAAATATAAATACATACTGGCACCTCAGTTGAGCTTTTGGGTTTGGTTAATAGATGGTTGTTTATTTACTGTTAACGACCTCACCCACTGGCGTTGAGCTTAATTGTTGTTCAATGAATGTTTTGCCATAGGAAGAACATGTAGTATAATGAATTCAAATTCATCTTATTTGTATTACAATTTATCTGTTTTCAATTTAATTTGTTCGTTTATTTTAAAAGAACATGTATAAATGACATATTTCCTACGCCAAAGTGTTTTTTCTTTCGATTTACAAGTGCTATAAAAAGGCTTGAATGAAAAAAAAAACATACATGTACTTATGAAATTTTTTTGCATTCTTTTGATCAATGCTAAATACCTTTTTATCTTAAAACATGTTATGCTTTTTCCTCACAATTTGCATAAAATATTTCAAAGTTAATAGAAGAATTTCATAACGTACTATACAAAAGCGCAACTTATTTATTTATTCATCATACAATGTCATGTTGATGTCCAAATAACCTTTCGAATGTTTTTATTTCAAGCAATATGTCAAACCCCTGATAGTTTTATAAGACTGGTACAAGTATGTAAATAGTGATCTACGAAGTGGTACCTCTATCAAGTTTTCATATTAAGAACTTCATTATTTATATGGGTTTCTTACACACATAATGAAACGTATGCCTACAAGGGTAAGCATACCACTTCCAATTATCGTCTTTCCTCGCTACTGCACAGTTGTAATGTTTACCCCCATGTGGCTGTCCGTTGGCCCAGTTATTTTTATTCACCCTTGATGCATCGGAAATATACAAATATTCTCCTTCCTCTTGAACGTATGTTGCAGCAATCCACACACCAACATCTCCTTCAATCAGAATTTATATGTCATTATTAGAATTAGTATTTACTTCCCTTCACCCACTTCCTGACTACTCAAGATAAGTGGCATTCTTTTGGCTTATTCGTGATTCTTTTATATACTTCTCTTTCTGTCATTTTTTATGAGTATTGGGTGCCACTCTTGTCAGTTGAGAGCTGCAAATTTTAGACCTATATTTAATTGGTACTCAAAACCATTAAGCTTTTAGATTTTTTGTTTCGTGCCAGCGCCTTTTCAACATTCAATCCTCGGTTTTTACGCGCTCACTTGGAGGACTGTACTTTATTATTAGAATCTGCAACGTAAGGATCAACTTCATACTATGCGACTTTTAAATAGACGTCCTAACCACTACGCCAAGTTTACGACAAATTTTTAAGAGTAAAGATTTAAACAAACATAGGTAATCAGAGATTACAGAGCTCACCTCAACAAATGTTGTCTTTAAGTAAGGCAAAGCCACACAATTAACCAACAAAAAGTATACATTCCAAAAATGAAAATATTTTTAAAAGCAATTTTGATCTGATACTTTGAAATAGACCTACATAAAAAATTTAAACTACTTCTTCTTCATGAAAATGTAATGAAAATCCAGCATCTGAAGCAAATTTGAGAGTTTTCATCTCTTGATGCAGCATTTGTGAAAGTTTGGTTTATACAATGTTATATAAGCCTTATAGTTTTTGGTAATAGACCTGCAACCATAACTTTTACCTTGTCTATTATCTGAAAAATGTATGTCCAATTCAGCATCCGAAGCAAGTCCATTAGTGTGCATCCTTAGATGTATCATCCATGCAAGTTTGCTCATTATAGGGCTCATAGTTTATTGGAAATGAAACATGCATTAAAACTAACATTTTCATTCATCCACAAAAAGTAGGTCAGATTCAGCTTCCGAAGCAAGCCTGGAAGTATGCATCCTTAGATGTATCATCCATGCAAGACTGGTCATTAAAGAACTCATAGTTCCTTGGAAATGAAACCTGCACCAAAAACTTTTAACTATTCACTCAACCGGAAAATGTAGGTCAGATTCAGCATCCGAAGCAAGCCTGGTAGTGTGCATCCTTAGACGTATCATCCATGCAAGTTTGGTCAACATAGGGCTTAAAGTTACTTGCAAATGAAACCTGCACCAAAAACATTAACCTGTTCGCTCAACTGGAAAATGTAGGTCAGATTCAGCATCCGAAGCAAGCCCGGTAGTATGCATCCTTAGATGTATCATCCATGCAAGTTTGGTCAACATAGGGCTTATAGTTACTTTGAAATGAAACCTGCACCAAAAACTTTAACCTGTTCACTCAACTGGAAAATGTAGGTCAGATTCAGCATCCGAAGCAAGCCCGGTAGTATGCATCCTTAGATGTATCATCCATGCAAGTTTGGTCAACATAGGGCTTATAGTTACTTGGAAATGAAACCTGCACCAAAAACTTTAACCTGTTCACTCAACCGGAAAATGTAGGTCAGATTCAGCATCCGAAGCAAGCCCGGTAGTATGCATCCTTAGATGTATCATCCATGCAAGTTTGGTCAACATAGGGCTTATAGTTACTTGGAAATGAAACCTACACCAAAAACTTTAACCTGTTCACTCAACCGGAAAATGTAGGTCAGATTCAGCATCCGAAGCAAGCCCGGAAGTATGCATCCTTAGATGTATCATCCATGCAAGTTTGTTCAACATAGGGCTTATAGTTACTTGGAAATGAAACCTGCACCAAAAACTTTAACCTGTTCACTCAACCGGAAATTGTAGGTCAGATTCAGCATCCGAAGCAATTCCGGTAGTATACATCCTTAGATGTATCATCCATGCAAGTTTGGTCAACATAGGGCTTATAGTTACTTTGAAATGAAACCTGCACCACCAACTCCCAACTGTTCACTCAACCGGAAAATGTAGGTCAGATTCAGCATCCGAAGCAAGCCCGGTAGTATGCATCCTTACATGTATCATCCATGCAAGTTTGGTCAACATAGGGCTTATAGTTACTTGGAAATGAAACCTACACCAAAAACTTTAACCTGTTCACTCAACCGGAAAATGTAGGTCAGATTCAGCATCCGAAGCAAGCCCGGTAGTATGCATCCTTAGATGTATCATCCATGCAAGTTTGGTCAACATAGGGCTTATAGTTACTTGGAAATGAAACCTGCACCAAAAACTTTAACCTGTTTACTCAACCGGAAAATGTAGGTCAGATTCAGCATCCGAAGCAATCCCGGTAGTATGCATCCTTAGATGTATCATCCATGCAAGTTTGGTCAACATAGGCCTGATAGTTACTTGGAAATGAAACCCACACCAAAAACTGCACCAAAAATGTTAACCTGCTCCAAAAACATTAACCTGGTAATTCCTTTGCTGAAATTGCAGCATCTGAAACTTTGTCTGGTACAATAAAACACACTAAAACCATTTTCCATGCATGTCTAATCAGTATAGGACACAGAAGTAATTAAAAAGAAAACTGCTCCAAAAAACTTAACCTTAACCTGGGACGCCGACGCCGACGCCGACGCCGACGCCGACGCCGACGCCGACGCCGACGCCGAGGGTATCACATAAGCTCCCCCAACTTCGTTGAGGTGAGCTAAAAACTTATTACACTTATAATGCAGAAGAACTATTTTTTTATATTACAAGATAAAAAGAAAAATCAAATTCTTTGTATAAGAAGCTCTTGTTGTTAGGTATGAAGACTGACATTGTACATAATTTATATACATGTACTACTTGGTATTGCATGTATACGAGGTGTGTTAGAAAAGTTCGCGAACAAGTTCTATTGTGAGCGCGCTATTTCCACAAAACCGGTCAAACTTTCCGAATAAAATCGTAACCTATTTTCCAATAAATATACAAAAATTTGACGCTCTCCAGTGATCATTGAAAAATACAGCTTCTTATTTTGATAAAACTTGCTTCACGAAGCGCGCTACATTTTGGGACGTTTACATCACAGAGACTCTATATCAAATTTAAAAATTGCACATTTGAAGCGCAAAGAGATTTATGATATATTACCTGTCGCTAAAGTAGTCATGAAACGTCACTGGGAGAAATTCTGAATAAAATTGGAGGGTATATGACTGTTTTATAGCCATTTATAACTGATCAACGCGTAAAGCCAAAAATCGAAATGTGATCAAGCGTCATGGAGCACAGCACTACGTAAAAATTATGAGTGCAGAAAGAAAAATGTTTAAAAAGAGAATAAAATGTTCAACATGCTACCGGGAATTTCCTGCACATACAAAGGAAAAGGTTTTAAAAATGATTGTAGCTTGATAAGAATGGAAGGATCAACATTTTGAATGATTAATTTCACCGATACTTTAATACCTCCTTATCGCATGGACCCTGTGCCTTTATGGTTTTGCATAGTTTTCATTCCGGATCGATCAACTGCATCGACTTTTTTAAAGATCTCATTAATATCTGAAAAGTAACATCACTTGATATAGATATACAATTTTAAAGTTAAAAAAATATAAGAAAAATTTGAAGAAATGAAAGATTTATTGAACTGGACAAAGTTTAACGGGTTGAAATTTTACGCCTTACGTTAAATGATTGCTTCGTGAATCCAATGACCTCATAGTAAAAAAACGTTGTAAATCTTCAAGATGTAAGTAAATGGGCCTGATTTTTTACATTCAAACAAGCAAAATTTAGGAACTCATTCAAATATAGGTCATACTTCACAGTCACGGTACACAATAGATTTTCCGTAATTCAATAACAACCCTCGTATATTCCAATATAAATCATAATATACAAACTATTTTGATGCTTTTCAAGCAATTTAAGAAGATCAAATATTTACTTATGCTGAGTTTTCTACTAATTCAACTGTAAACTTGATTTGAATGCCATTTTTGTGTATACTCACGCGTAGAAATATGCCCGGAGAAAATTGCGCTAAGGTGACTGCATAATGATTCCAAAAATAGATCATTTAGTCAAGTGTTATCCTGCCATAGCTAACAAGTCAAAATGTGTCGATGACTTTACACCATAGTCAAAAGCTCAAACATTTGTCATTTTTACGGTGTCCTCTTACTATCTCAGTTCTATCTATATCTCCTTGAAGATTTTGATATATTTATAATGTTTTTACAATGATTAAACTAAATACAACGCATCTTAGATTTACTCGTATTTTGCTTGTATTTGTTAATTCTTTTACAGGAAATAAACATATTTTGTTCTGTACTCTATCAATGCCATTAAACTTCCTAAAACAATCAGTCTAATTCAAAGTGTCTTTTTATTAATAGATAAATAAAGTAATAAATAAATCTACTTTTAATTTTAGAAGTTAATTGAAATGTCTCTTTCTTTTTGATGTACATGCATAAATAACATGTTAAAGTTTAAAACTGAAAATAGTCAGTTTACTCGTCCTCAATTCTAATAGGCGTTAATTAATCACTGTGTTTGCAGTAATAATATGGTTATACATGTTAAATTTTTGTTTTCACAAATATTCCACCTATTCCCATGTGAAATTTTACATTTTCCAAGCAATTTTTAAAAAAAAGTGGGATAGGTAGTGCAGACATACACAGACGCATTTGTATTTGTGTTGAGGCGGGGGGTGGGGGTTAAAGAGATAGAAGATATTGTAAAAATTTGTTTTTAATTTTTTTTCAACAACAACAAAAACGTACCTTGTGCATGTAACTGCAAACCAATCAATCTCTCTATTCTTATATTTCGGTGCTCAGAAAGATGTGCAGTTTCTTCATTACATGATTTCTATGAATTAATGATCAATGAAAACACAGTAATTAGACGTGAAAAATCAGAAAAGTTTAATTATAAATTGAATTGTTTGCATTTAAAAACTAACATTCTATAGGGATAAAAAAAAACCCTTATGTGTTGATTAATGAACTGCTCACCAATGCATCTTTGAATGTTACTCTTTGAAGAGAAATTAAGTAACATGAATTTTCTATATGAATCCAACCATCCTTACAAGCTACTCGAAAGAAAAAAAATCATAACTTGAAATATGTCCATAGGACATGAATGCCCCGCCGAGGATATATTAGTAAAGCAACAGGAAAATTTGTATGTGAATAAAATTTGATCAGTTTGGTTCGGAAAGGGATTATAGTTACTAGGGAATAAAAGTGTAGGTCAGATCCAGCGTCCGAAGCAAGCTTGGTAGTGTCCATCTCTAGATGCATCATCCATGCAAGTTTGGTTGAGGGAGGGCTTATAGTAACTTGGGAATGAAAATATAGGTCAGATCCAGCATCTCAAGCAAGTCTGGCAGTGTCCATCCTTAGATGCATCATCCATGCAAGTTTGGTTCACGCAGGGCTTATAGTTACTTGGGAATAAACATATAGATCAGATCCATCATCTCAAGCAAGTCTGGCAATGTCCATCCCTAGATGCATCATCCATGCAAGTTTGGTTCACGCAGGGCTTATAGTTACTTGGGAATGAAAATATAGGTCAGATCCAGCATCCGAAGCAAGTCTGGTAGTGCATCATCCTTGCTAGTTTGGTTCAGATAGGACTTATAGTTAATAGGGATTAAAAATGTAGGTCAAATCCAGCATCCGAAGCAAGTCTGGTAGTGTCCATCCCTAAATGTATCATCCATGCATGTTTGGTTCAGGCAGGGCTTAAAGTTACTTAGGAATGGACCTGCTCCATAAACTTTAACCTGGTCACTCATCCGGAAAATGTAGGTCAGATTCAGCATCCGAAGCAAGTCTGGTAGTGTTCTTCCCTATATGCATCATCCATGAAAGTTTGGTTTGGATAGGGCTTTTAGTTCCTTGGAAATGGACCTACATAACTCCAAAAACTTTATCCTGGTCACTAATCTGGAAAATGTAGGTCAGATCCAGCATCCGAAGCAAGTCTTGTATTATCCATTTCTAGATGCATCATCAATGAAAGTATGGTCCAAGTAGGGCTTATAGTTCCTAATGGAATGGACCTGCTCTAAAAATTTTAACCTGGTTACTTATCTGGAAAATATAGGTTTGATCCAGATTCCGAAGCAGGTCTGGTAGTGTTCATCATCCGTGCAAGTTTGTATCAACATGTGAAGTTTGATAACACCATCTTAGATGGTATGTTTAAAACTGAGCTAAACACTAATTTAAGAGAAGTGAGGTCAAAGTCAAAGGAAATGTCAAGGTCACAATTGTTGATGCAGTTGCAAAGCTCTCATCAATATCTATCAGCATATGAAATTTGAAGAAAATATCTTGGATTGTTTCTTTGAAACTTAGTTTGAACAGAGCTAAATGCAAAGTGTGATGGAAGGACAGACGGAAAGACGGAAGGACGGAAGACGGACATGACAAACACTATATGCCCCGGCCATATTCATGGCGGGGCATAAAAAATGATGGCAAAGAAAAATAAATAAAGAGAGGAAAGAAAGAGATAGAGGGAGAGGAACATAAAATAATGAAAAGGAAAGATCATTTTACGTGTAATTACTTGAAAGAATTGCATTTCCTGTGTAACCATGCCCATCCCTTTTACGCTGTCCGTAAACTATAACCCCAAAAGGTGTTCCATCTGTTGTCCTTACTTTCATCACACCGCTTGGTATACTCAAAGTCCATACGCTGTAGAAAGATGTACCAACTGCTACCGTGGAAAAATAACGAGTTTGGTTCTCCTTTATGCCCGTTTCATTAATTTTAAGATGTTCCAGAGAATCTGTTTTTAACATAAATGTGGCAAAACTAAAATTGAAATTCTCGGGTACAAAAAGGATGTACTCATTGATATATTGATTTATTCCGGGAATAGTTATCATGTACGGATCACCGAATATTAGTGGTTGGGTTGAACCGTAGGCAAAACTATTCACTAGCAAAGGTTCAATAGATTCTATAACCGCTGTTTCATTTTCTTGGATAAAAAAATCAATTGTTTGATTTCTAGTAACAACTACAGATGTTTTCTCTCTTTCAATAGAATATTTGATTTCCGTTTCAATGGGTGATGCTATGCGCACCTGTGTTTTGTATCTATGAACATTTGGCGGGACGATGAAAATCTTATCCAATTTGTCATCTGGTGGAACCATTTCAACGAGCATATTACAAAATCCGTAATCACCAAGATTATTACATCTGTTTCCTGCAAAGACTGCAACTGGATGAGAGGCGTTTATTGTTGTTCCCGACAAATCTGCTCTTAGTCCAATTTGAAAAGTTTGAAAACTATCCAATATTATTGTTATTTTGTCACCATTGCCATAGCTGCTGCCATTATGTTGGACCTTTGCATCACGATCTATGACTAAACTGATACTGACGCATGTATTGTCCATTACTGATGCAACCGTAACATGGCTTCCTGAATCAATCAAACCATCTAAGGGCGTTGTCATTGATATGATGTAGTATGTTGACAGTTTATCAACAGGGAAAACGGTGTTGCTTTCTGAGGTAAATTCAAGATCATTCATGGATAATACGGACGAAATTGATGAAGTTTTGATCAAAATAGCTTTATCTTCAACAGAGGAATAAGATGGAACCATCAAAGGATGAACATTGATTTTCTTGATCATGATATTTCCAATTATTTGGTTAGATATGGATATCAAATTCGGACTCTGCTTTTCAGAAAGTGAAACGGTGATATTGAAATCAGTATCCGACGTAACGATAATTGTCCTGTTACTATTGTTTACTGAAATGTGAGATTGGAGAAAGCTAACCAGGAAAGTGCATCCCATGCTACCTGCAAGGAAAATTATTTCAATGGCATTGTTTTCCCATACTTTCTTTGAAAGAATACACATTGTCTGTAACGTATATAAGGTTTATAACGTTTATTTTTTATTTGCATATCTTAGCGTTTTGACTCATGAAAATGTAATTTTCCGTACAGTGTAAGGTAAATAATTAATATGTTTCTCATTTTAGATCCATATATTGTTTTTAAGGTATTGATTTTTTTTAAAGAAAGCGGTAAAAGCTTTTTAATCTGCAATAAGTGTCAGATGTTTAATGTTTGATTGAAATTCGAATCGGTTCCGTTATCTTAAATATAGTCAAGGATCACCAAGCTTCAGTGAAATGAATTTCCAAATATAAGTATTTTTTTTTATTGAAAAGAATCACATAGTTCTTTGATCATCTGAACTTTGAGTAATCTTCGAGTTTAGATCAGAAATTATTTTTCTTAGATTAATTCATTAGTTTGCCGTATATGTGCAATGTTAAGATTTGTTTAATTTAACATCGTCTCTTTTTTATGATTTCAATAATATTGTAAATTTAACCAAAATATTCTTTCCTTGAAAGTACTTACCAGTCCATTTTCTCTGCTTTTCTTGGAAAACCGGTTGATGATGTTGATCTAATTTTGAAGAAGAGGTCGTGTTACAGAAAAAAAAAATGAAATTGAACATTTTAAAGTCTAATTTCAATTCAAAGAAATGCATTTTATGAAGATAGTCAAAAAGTTACAAGAAAAAAAAAAAAAAAACGTTATTACAATCATCCAGTTGCTTACCTTCCTCTCTGTTCTTCTCGAGATATAACAAGGCTGTCAAAGTGACCAAAGCGAAAACAAGAGCGATGACAAGAAATATGTATGAAATTTTTTTCAGAGGTAAACATGAGGTATTAAAGTGCGCTAAATCCCCTGGTTGCCCGTCCTCTTGTCGAAAATTGTGCTTGTGCGTCGCTTTCTCTTCCCCTATATTCTTGAAGATAATTCAATGTTAAAAAGTGAAAATTTTAATCTTACCTATCCTCAATACGCTGTATATAAGGAAATATATTTAGAGTAATCTTAAATTTATTTTAGAATTCAAAGGGAAAAAGAAATGAATCATAGAGGAAGAAAATGTATTTCTGATTTTTTACATTGGAAATGGGATCGGGATGTAAAGACTTACTGATACTAAAAACCAACAATTATTCGCGTCATCATGTATTTGCTATCCGTCAGTATAAAATTAATCCGCGGTAATTATTGTTCGTTAATGAGAAAAACATTTTCTGCAAAAACAAAGCAAAACTAGTGATAATTGTAACGGGGACCGTTACAGATGTTCCCCAAAGGCTCCCCAAATCCCTCTTTGTACCTTATTACTGTAAGACTTATTTGAAAGTGTAACCATTTTTCAAGTATGATATTTATTTTGGGCATGCGCACGTGAATTGCATTTAATTTTGATAGTAGCATAATGTGGGATTCCATTATACCTATTTATATTTTAAATTGCATCCCGTTTTGTTGAGAACCAAGGAAGTTATAGGCATTTAATACTTCAGCCAATCAGATTGCAGCACACGTGCACGCACATGCTTTCATGATAAGTCTTATAAATCAAACTGTAGACCTTCATAATGCATGATTATGTTCAAAATTTTAAAGAATTATGACAAAAAACAAAAAAAGATATTGAGATTTTAGTTTCAGTCAATCAGAGCGAAGTGCACGTGCATTCACGTAAGATCTTGCTATTTTGATCATGTCATCGTGTCTATACTATTAATATATCTTTATATATTAAGTTTCAAAACATTTTATTAAAAAAAATAGAAAATTTACAGCAACATCCATTATATTGGTCATTTCATGTGTTGCACGTGTGCGCTCTTGCAAGCACGTGCGCGCAAAATGACCTTCGTTCCACAAATCTACATAGCATATTTGCTGATCCTAAAAAAGTTTCACCTAAGTTGGATGTGTAGTTTACAAGATCACTTGCGATCAAAATTTTCCAAGGAAGAAAAATAACTGTAGAGTCTGCTATTGCAAGCAATAGCGTATGTTCCCCCCCCCCCCCCCCCAACTGGACAAGACTTTCGTATTATGTATCACTAAAACAATACCCATTAGCTAAGCTTGGACAACCGTCAAATCGTATCAGTCTTTTTAGTACTTTGATTTAAAAATCAAAGCTAAAGAATTTTAACTTTCCCCTGGTTTCCATGGCAATTATCGATTATTTAGAAATTTAAATGCGAACACAACTACAATTACTAACTACTAAAATGAAAAAAAAAAATACATTACGAATGTTCAAGGAACCAGAGAGAACACTTGCGGACGAAATTCGTCGCATTTTGTAGGTTTTCATGGCAACGGTAGCCATTTTGAAACTGAATGACCACACAACACAACTTCAACCACTGATCGTATTTTGAAGAAAGTTTCTAGAAGATTGTCTGACATCTCCGAGAAACAGCTTGGAGAACAAAAACATGCGTACCATTGCAATATGTCGCCCCCTACTTCGTTCGGGGCGACATAATACTGTAATACTAGTAAGTAACAGAGTAAAAACAATATGTTCCCCAACTTCGTTTGGGGAACATAACTAGAGTTTGTGAAACACTGATATCACGTATGGAGCTTGTGGTGAAGATGAAATTTCTCAAATGCAAGTCAATCTCCAAGGTCAAAATAATAACATGTGAAAGTCTACGCACTTCCTGTTTAAACGATATGGCCAAGGTTAAAGTTTCTAAAAAGTGGGTCAAACTCTTATTCCAACGTCATAGGTAAAAAATAGTTGTTCTCGTTGAAATGTCTTGTCACAATGAAAATATGTGTAAAGCATAAGAACACTAGCACTAACTGTTCCAAAGTTATTGCCAAGGTTAAAGTTTCTGTAATTTGAGTCAAACTCAAACTCAAAGGTCAACGTCAAAAGGTCAAAATTATTGGAATCCCATGGAAGATCTTTTCAAAAAGAAAAGACATGCGAAACAAATACTGTGAAATCACAACTTTTCGTTGAGGTTTAATTTTTGTTGTTTTCGAGGTTTGAAGAACCCACGAATTTATGTCCACCACGAAATGTAAAATGCGACATAAATAACTACTGAACAATATCCACGAAATCAAATCCCCACGAACCAAGAGCTTTCCTCACATCACGAAAATTTTGACACCAAGAAAATATGTTATTTTACAGTGATCCTTTGTCCAGCCTGTCATGACCAAGGTTAAAGTTTTCAAAAGTAGATCCACACTATAAACTCAAGGTCAAAAAGGTAAACAATATTTACACCCGTTGAAAGGTCTTGTCACGGTTAATACGCATTTGAAGTATGAAAATCCTAGCACAAACTGTTTAAAAGTTGCAGTCTAGCCAAGGTATTTTCTGTGAAAGTTTGGTCAAACTTCAAGGTCAAGAGGTCAAATTCGATTATACCAAACGAATGGTCTTCTCACAAGAAATACACCTTTCTAATATGAAAGTCATAGCCCTACGCATTCAAAACTTATTGGGAACTTTATTCTTTTGCAGACAGACAGACAGACAGACAAACAGAGAGATAGATAGACAGACAAACAGACAGACAGATGTACAGAGTCTAAACTATGTACCGCGACATGATAATTGGTTTGTGGCAATTAATATTTTCAAGTTAAATAAAAATTGCGAAACTCATGGATATTTCTCGCACGCGAAACAAGGGGGATTACAATTATGTACTAAAACCACATATATATACCCAAGTCATTGAAACTGTAATCAGAAAAAATCTTTATTTTTCTCCACCATTTTGTGATTCTGTAGCAATATTAACAAATTATTATTTGAAATAGATAGAATCCCACTAAATATCTTTGAGTAGGTACTTAAACAATGCATGTATTCCAAGCTTTACAATGTATTCTTATTCAACAGAAGTCATTACATCTATCTAGCACCCGAAGGTACATAAAAAAGAATGCATAATATGAATTGTTGTACAAACACTAACAATTTCATTTGAATAATTTGTTTTGTCAATAAATTGAAATGCAGAAAACTGTAAAATACTGATTTCTTTGTAAAACTAAACATTAAAAATTGATCTTTTGGTCTGTCAGGATTTGACTTTCAACCATCATTCACAATTTTATTTATTTTTAAGTTGCACCAATACAAATGTTGCAAAATATGTAAATACCATGACATCATATGGGTTTTCCTCAGCAAACTGAAAGGACATATTGTCGTACTTCTCAAACTTTGCCTGCAAATCAAAAATAAAACAGAATTGAAGATATCTGTGCATATTTTTATCCGATATCAATCAGCATTGATTATATATACCAAGTTTTGTTTGAAGGAAATATTTTGAGGACGTAATTTGTAAAAGCTCGAAATATTAATTTGTTGCATAATTTAGGTCAGTAGTCATGGCTTTTTCAATTGATTGACTGATTGGTGGTGTGCTGTTTTACGTCCATTCGAGAATTTTTCATTCATATAGAGACGCAACCATATACAGGTGAACAGCTTCAAATTTTGACCTTTTCTCGGCACTCAGTGGAATTGAGAAGTGAGAGATATTTATCGTGTCAACGCCTGTGGTAACACATGGCCTCGGATTAAAGGGCTCATCCGAAGGACTCGTGACGTTCACTTCAAAGTGTCGAGCACATGGCGAAACAACAGCAGCTACCGATTTTTTTTAAAACGATTTCAATCAGTCAGAACCGACCTGACGACCTCCTGATCACGAAGCAAGCGGTCTCCCGACTGAGCAAGCGGGAAAGGTTTTACATCAGATAGTATCTTCCTGTGTGAAAAAGTCACATTCCAGTTCAACTTTTTAAGCAAATGTACGACTTGCAGTCTCTGAAATGCTCTACTTTCCCACCTGAACGTTGAACAAACGGTGAAGGAACGCAGAACGAACGGTGAGTGAACGATTTGTGAACGCTGAACGCAACTTGGTGAACGATGTGTGAACAGTGAACGAACGCAGAACGCGAACGGAGAGCAAACGCCAGCGCAAAGTGAACGGTGAACGAATGGTGAACGCAAAATGAACTATTTATTCGGAATTCCTCCGATCTTTTCCTTGCATTGACACTATTCTATTGTATTCTAATGTCAAGCGCTAAAATATAAATGATAAATAATTAAATGAATAAAAAAATCAATAAATCAATAAATAAATAAATGAAATTGGCACCCAAATCTTTCCATAACTAGATAACTTTAAATTTCATTCCTTAATTTGTTCTTTTGCAATGAACGACAGAACGACATTTTTGTCATGTACTTATAGAATGAATTAATTACCACGGTTTTAACAACCATACATGTATTCCGTGCCAAGGCGATTCCGGGTAAATTTAGGATTTTTTTTTTTATTTACAAAGGTCTCTTTACGTATGGCATAAATACACTCGTATCTAAAAAAATAATAATGCAATAATATTATAAAGTGTATGTCAAATTTATTTTTATGACGATTTTTTTAGCGGCACTTCTACATGTACAATGTATCTTAAGACATTTTCCAGCCGTGATTATACTCGGACAAATGCTGGAGAAAGGCATTCAAATTATTTTTAATAGATTAGATTTTCAAAACTAAATAAATAATATGATATCATAGATTCTTTTTTATTGAACAGACAAATGTAAGAGAGAGAAAGAGAGAGAGAGAGAGAGATTAACCCCCTCCATTCTCAGATTCCTTTGTATCAAATAATTTTTTTTCTAAATATTTCAGGCAGTGAAAGTATTTTTTTTTTTTGAAGATTAACACAATCAATTGACAGCTTTCATTTGCTTTCTTTCCCTATTCAAGATCACACTGTTCACACGAAGTCCATGTGCCTCTCCTGTCAATCAAAATCATTCGACACAGTGGAGTTGTTGAAATCCCGTTTCATCGAACATGCTGAAGGCAAAGAGTCAATTATTTCTAAGAAGTTTTAACATTTTTCCTATCATTTCTAGGTCTAATTTCCACATTTCTGAAGAATAAAAAGTAAATGGAATATATACTTGAAAGGATAACTTTTGAAATTGAATTTGAAACAAACTCCTTGCCTATTTAAAATACCACTGCATAACAGCAACTAACAATTTTATTAATTAACTTCAGTCAGTTGCAGCCGAGATTTTACCTGACGATCTTCCGATCACGAATCAAGCGGTCTACCGACTGAACTACCAAGAAAGGTTTAACATCAGAGTGTATCTTTCTTGTGAAAGATCAAAATCAAGTTTTATTTTTTATCAGAAATACGGCTCATATCATGTGTTCTCATTTGAATGATGGCATACATTTATTGTTTATTTAAGATCAGTTTTACTCAATATTTTCAGGCAGTCATAAATTTCTACCTTACCGCTTAAATGAGATATTCATACATATTCATACATTTTCATGTATATTATAGATTTATTTTTCGTTTCCTTTGCTATTCTTAGGAAATGAAGTTGAAAGGGATAAGAAAATGCAATTATTATTTTAATTGTTAATTGTTTGTTTAGTGCTTGTTAAATAGAAATGATACTTTGCATTTAGACTGTTTTCACTGCCTGCTCTGCTGAACTGAGTTTTTGTTGTTATATTTTATTCAAGAACTCCTACCTTAATGTCACTAGAGCGATCATTCATCTATGACGAAGAAAGAGGGACTGTTTTTAAATCGTCGGGGAAGATCTGTCTACCTTAGTATGCCAACATTAGCTGTACAGAGTCCATCGACAATGTCAACATATACATGTATAAGTGTACTAGTGGAAGGCTGTTCCCTTATCATTTATTTATATATGTAAACCATGTATTCCAAATTACCAGTAACATATTGTTAAATTTTGCCTAAAGGAATGAATATGCCTCTCAAAATAATTAAATTTTTATTAAAATATAATTAACTCTTTAGTACTTTACGCAAATTTCAGTTGATTTTTTAAAATTGTTTGGTATTTTAAAATGTATACATGTATAAGCCAGATTTTTTATTTAAGATGAAAAATAATTATCTAAATTCATGATAAAGACAATGAAATCGTATTTTTTACGCGAAAAGAATATTAAGAGTAACTTCTTTGTAATCGACGGGAATAAAAGCAAACTCATCATCTTTCACACTTTTCAATATTATTGGGTATTCAGAATTAAACATTTCAATATTTGAAGTAATAACCTTTAAAAGCTTTTGAAATGGCAATTATACATTTAGAGATGTAAAACTTACTTTTAGATTTTTTTCCATGTTGTCTTTCTTCATTGTAATAACGCAGAGTATGTGCAAATTTTATTATTCGAAACTGCACAAGTATCGTGATAAAGACTGTTTAATTCACAAGGAAAATTTATCTTGAGAAATAAATAGAATTAAAAAAGCTTATACTAATAAGGAAGTGAGATGAGGTTCTAATGGCCAATTGCTTGCTGTGCCGGTATTTACTTCTGATAAAACAGTACAAAAACAGCCCATGAAACCTTCTACAATATGTCCATATTATAACACTTCCAAAATCCGGTGAAGGTAAGGGTGCAAATATTATGTGAATTTTGACAAGAATATGAGAGTTGTTCAAGCTATCTTCCTTGTGTATTTGTAAATTTTTTATATAAGCAAACACACTTGGTCAAATGAAGAACGTATAGAAATATTTAATAAAAAAATAAAATATATTTTGCCAACAACGAACAGCCTCTTCCCTCACAAAAAGCTAATAATAGATAACTTTAGTTAGCTATACTATATCAAAATCATAGTTTCATCACTTCAGTAAATCTAAACATTTAAAGTTATCGCCCAAAAAGTTTTGGAACCAGGCAGCAAAACAAAGAAAAGGAGAGAAGGAAAAAGGAGAGAATAACATGATTACAACTGAAAGATAAAAGTTGAGTAACACCGAACAATAAAAATTTACTTTCAAAAGTCAAGTAGATTGAGTAGCATCATAAGAATGTCTTTCCTTACACAGTCAAAATCGGAATCATGAAAAGTGTTATAGATGCGTGAGTCCATAACAGTAAGTCTTGAGAATTTCTGTCTTGAATTTATTGTCGACATCGTCTACAATGTAAAATTTCATGCGTTTTTCATCCATACTGGCATATAAAAGAACCATTGAAATACCAGGCTGATATAATCCCCGTATGTTCAATGCGATAGTTTTTTTTTCATGTCATGCCATCCGCGGGTATGTTAAGGAAGCATATAAGTCATTTTTCGGGAAAATTAGACTTTTTTAAGAAAAACAAGTTTGATAATTTACTAAAACCGCGATAAAGGTAAACTATTATTAGCTATTGCATAAAGATAAAAAAAAGTGTCTAAGAAAAGACGTGCACAACACCCACTTCATCACGTGACTTCTATGAATAGCAAAATGTTCCCTAACAAAAAAAGTTAACAGAACAACAATACCCCAGAATTTAATAAATCCGTTGAGTAAATAATATAGTTGAAAAAAATCTATTTTGCCTAAAAAGTGCTGCTAGAATCCCACTGTCTCATCGGGACAATAATTATTCCACACATTCACACAAAACTTTACGCGATGTTTTGAATTTTATACATATGAACCGAACTTTTTCGTAAAACCATGCTTAACTTGGGATTCCAGCAGCACTTTCCAAGTATTTTAGGAGGCAAACTTTCCACCTGTACAAATCTTATGTTTTGAAATATACAGCTTATTGTTGGTCTGTTGCAAAATTTTTCTCACAAATGACAGGGGAAAGGCCGACCTGGATACGTTTATAGCTACAGACCCTGAGACGTGCTACTACCCCACACGCTCGCTGCACGAACGGTACACGAACGCTACACGGTTTGCACGAAACGCTGCACGGTTTACACGAAACGCTACACGGTTTGCACGAAACGCTACACGGTTTACACGAAACGCTTTGCACGAAAGGCTGCACGGTTTACACGAAAGGCTGCACGAAACGCTTTGTACACGTTTCTCACACGCTTTGTGCACGATTCTCGCACAGTTTGGCCTCGGTTTTGATTTTTCTACTCGGAATATCTCGGGCATTTTTACACCTTTATCATTAATTCAATGAAAATCGCTCAAAAAGCCACATTAAGCAGCTGTTTAAATTAAATTTAGTACACTTCTATTATAAAAACCGATAGAAATATTTAATACTCTGACAGTTGTAATTAATTGATAAATAATTGTCAGTTCGAATTTATTTATTTATTTAACTGTTTAAAAACGAAATGCCGATATCGTGAATGACTGTTTAATAAAATACAATTTTTATACACAGGTATTAGTTATTCATTTCAATGTAATATTTTTCCGAGTATAATTTGATAAATTGATTTAATAAATTGAACATTCTATTTCTCACCGCAGGAATATAAACTCATTGATTTTTAATAATATTGATTATATTGTGTTTGATTTCCGTAGGCGGATTATTTTTTGTGATTTTGATTTTAAATTAGTAAATTAAATTTGCCTATATACTCTACTAACGATTATTGATACATTTTTAAAGATTTTTTTTACGCAAGCATTATCAATAGGAGGGAAACCGGTAAAGGGGAGGGGGGGGGGGAGTAATGTGATCTATTTATCTATTCTATTCTCTTTCTCTTTTTACATGAAGCTTATCAAATAACATCAGTATACCCATCATACTGTAAAATCCATCATTTCAAAACATGACTAAACGTATGTTTATATGTATACATTTATTAATAGTCGCGCCATTTGACTATACATTCACCCATTCTCAATATAAGGGCGCAAATAATGTCGCCTCGTTTTCATTTAGAAGAAATAACACTGATGTAATTTTTAAATCAACATTATAAATAGTCATATAACAATGAATAAGAATTCATATAATTATCGATCTGAAAGGGTATTTAAGGAGTTCAAAATTCAAATATAGTAGCCTATTTGAAATGTACGTTACTGTCGCCGAGGCAAATATTATGCTGAATCCCCTCTGTGTAATATATAGTTTTGATTCTCAAGTAAAAATTTTCTGATAAGTTAAACCTTGTATCATATATACTTCTTTTTATAACAATAAATACATTTTCTTTGTGATAATAAATAATTTTTATTGTGCAATGTCCCTGTCGCTTAATTCTATTTTAACCACATTACAAGCAAACACAAAGATTATACACCTGATAGTTTTGTTCTCCTTTATTTATTGATGGGCTAAATTTGAAATTTCAAAGGGTTAATTACTCCTACATACGAGGGTCATTCAAAAAGTTCGTAGACTTTTGTCCTAACTTTTTTATTTAACGTCATATTCTATCCAAATTTGGTACAAATATTTTAACAACAGATTCAAATAATTTGAGTAAAAAAAATGGAATGTATCCTCATATTTATTAAAATTACCAAGGATTTAGAACAGCAAAAATGGGGTCACGGAGCACCGTCAAAATTGAGTAATTTTCTAATTTTCACTTTATAGTATTTACAGCTATACCTCTAATAAATGGAGCTGAAACGTAATAAAATTTACATGTTTAATTAAAGTATTGCTGTATTAATTAAAATGAAATCAGGTTATGTAATATATCGTTCCATTTAAAAGATATCAGCTTCTAAATACATATTGACTTGATTTAAAAAGGCAAAAAACCATGACGTTGGAGGACGTCACGGAGCAGCAAGTAGCAATAAAATTAGACTTTACATTCGGGAAACTTTTTCTACAAGCTTAAAAAATCCTTATAAATCAGGATCTGTATGGAAAAAAATCTGTGTATTTGTATTCAGTTGAAAATACAATTTTTGAGTGGTAGCGACTTTGAATCTGACGATGGATTGTCTGGAAAGAAACAGGTTAAAGTTAAAAATATTGTCAAAAGAGTTAGGAACGTCATTGAACGTGATGTGTGCTTCAATGTTGCAGAAATAATAAAGTTGCATGGTAAATCAAAGAATTTGAAAACAATAACATTCTAATTCAAGCTATATTTGTACAATTGTTAGCAAACCAGGTGTTAAGTATTGTGGATAAGAGTTTTGAATGGAGAAGACGCAACAAACCGTGTTTGAAATAACAAAAATGTGTATACTTTTGACAAACTTTCTCAGCGTTGTTTTTGACGTTACAATATTGGTTAACCGTGCTCCGTGGTAACAAAACATGTTGCTTTTAATTTTGGCTAACGTGAGTTCTGTTTAATCAAATGGAATGAAACTTCACACTTCGACAAAATAAATGTTTATGTTTACGAAAATGTGTTGATCTATAATCTTGTAATAATCATATGACGATGAGAAGCATTGTCTACGTATTTTTTGAATGACCCTCGTAGATAATGTAACATGAAATTGAACAATTTGAGCAACTTTTCTAAATATGTTTACGGAATGAAAGACATTTTCAATCGTAGAGATAAGAAAGAAATGTACGTTACCTATATTCTTCCACTAAGAATATATATTAAGTAGAAAATATGAGACGACTCTGAATAAGCAACCCCTTGTATCCTGTAAACTGGCAAAGACGTTTTGCTTAACACAATTAAAAATTATTTTTTACATGAAAAGTGATCATTTGAAATGTACGTGACTGAAATGTACGTTACCATGAAATTCGAATTAAGTGAATCTCGCACGAATTTTCATGTATTCTCATACTTTCACACACTCGAATGTGTACACAAAGTAAAGTTTCAAAGGTTGGAGGTCGGCTAAATCCCAAAATTAATGAAAAGAAACGTTTCTGCGGAGGAAAAAAAATATATTAAGGTCAATTATATGTAATATAATTTTGATACCTGGTATATATTTCTGAATACGAAACCTGTATGATGCATTTCTTATGATATGCAAGTTCAAATAGTATCAATATATTGCGTGTCTAACGTACGCTTGTGGAAAAGAATTGATTTTTATATTTGAAATGTACGTTACGAATGGTAACGTACATTTTGCGCATTTCTAACTGACATTTTTTTTATTATTTAGTCAATTAATTGCGTTTACACGAGCGAAATAAAATTATCGTTACAATCCATTTGACTAATGACCACATAAATCCATCTAAATGCACCCCAATCCTTGTAAATGTGGTGGACTGTTAACACTTGCTAGAAAATTTATTTCTATGTGTCTTAAATTCATCTTTAGCAACCTTTTTGCAGTTTGTTTACTTTAAATATGCGACTTTTCGTCAATATAAATTTAATTGTTGTTGGTAATTTAAAACAAGGTATTCATAGGCTTATAATTGGTAAAAAAAACACCAAAACGAAACAAAAAGAAAAAGGAAAAAGAAACAAAACAAATAAACCCAGAACACAAGACGGTCACGTACATTTCAAATACTGAAAGGCACACAATACTCA